TAGAAAATTTGAACAGATTACTAGCCATGAAATTGAATCAGCAATCAAAAAGCTCCCAAGAAACAAAAGTCCAGGACCAGATAGCTTCACTGGTGAATTCTACCAAACATGTATTTATTTATTTATTGCGGGGGAGGGTTGGGGCAGAGAGAGAGAGACAGAGACAGAGAATCTTAAGCAGGCTCTACCCCCAGTACAGAGCCTGAGGCAGGGCTTGATCTCACAACCCTGAGATCATGACTTGAGCTGAAATCAAGAGTCGGACGCTTAACCTACTGAGGCACTCAGGAGCCCTTCTACCAAACATTTAAATAATTTTATTCTTTAAAGAAAATGAAAGAATTCTATTCTTCTCAAACTATTCGAAAAAACTGAAGAGAAAGGAAAGCTTCCAAAATCATTCCATGAGGACAGTATTACCCTGATACCAAAACCAGATAAAGACACTACAGAAAAAGAGAAATACAGGCCAATATCTCTGATGAACATAGGTGCAAAAATCCTCGCAAAATATTAGCAAATTGAATCCAACAATACATTAAAAAAATCATTCATTACCATCGGGTGGGATTTATTCTCAGTATACAAGGGTGGTTCAATATTTGCAAATCAATCAATGTGATATATCACATCAACAAGAGAAAGAATAGGGGCACCTGGCTGGCTCAGTTGGTAGAGCATGTGACTCTTGATCTCAGGATTGTAAGTTCAAGCCCTGTGTTGGGTGTAGAGATCACTTAAAAATAAAATCTAAAAAAAAACCAAAAAACACAAAAAAAAAACAAGAGAAAGGATTAAAACAATATGACCATTTCAATAGATGCAGAAAAAGCATTTGACAAGTACAATATCCATTCCTGATAAAAATCCTTAACAAAGTAGGTTTAGAGGGAACATACCTCAACAGAATAAAGGCCATTTATGAAAAACCCACAGCTAACATCATACTTAATGGTGAAAAACTGAGAGCTTTTCCCCTGAGATCAGGAATAAGACAAGGACATCCACTCACCACTTTTTTTTTTTTTTTAATGGGCTCCATGCCCATCCTGGAGCCCAGCATGGGGCTTGAACTCACAACCCTGGGATCAAGACCTGAGTTGCAATTGAGAGTCAGACGCTTAATTGCCTGAGCCACCCAGGTGCCCCCACTCTACCTCTTCTATTCAACATTGTACCAGAAGTCCTAGCCACAACAATGAGACCAAAAAAAAAAAAAAAGAAGTAAAAGACATCCAAATTGGTAAGGAAGAGGTAAAATTTTCACTATTTGCAGATGACATGATATTATGCATAGAAAACCCTAAAGACTCCACCAAAAAACTACTAGAACTGTAAGATCACAGGATACAAAATCAATATACAGAAATCCGTTGCATTTCCATACACTAATAATGAAGTAGCAGAAAGAGAAATTAAGAAAACAATCCCATTTACAATTGCACCAAAATAATAAAATATCTAGGAATAAAGTTAATCAAGGAGGTAAAAGACCTATACTCTGAAAACTATAAAACATTGATGAAAGAAATTGAAGACAACACAAACAAAGGAAAAGATATTGCATGCTGATGGATTGGAAGAACAAATATTATTAAAATGTCCATACTACCCAAAGCAATCTACAAATTCAGTGCAATCCTATCAAGATACTAACAGCATTGTTCACAGAACAAACAACACTAAAATTTGTAGGAACCACAAAAGATCCTGAATACCCAAGGCAATCTTGAAAAAGAAGAACAAAACTGGAGGTATCACAATCCCAGGTATCAAGATATACTACAAAGCTATAGTAATCAAAACAGTATGGTACTGGCCCAAAAAGAGACACATAGAGCAACAGAACGGAATAGAGAGCCCAGAAAAAAAACCATGATCATACGGACAACTAATCTTTGACAAAGGAGGCAAGAATATGCAATGGGAAAAAGTCTCTTCAACAACTGATGTTAGGAAAACTGCTACTTGCAAAGAATGAAACTGGGCCACTTTCTTACACCATACACAAAAACAAACTCAAAATGAATAAAGACCTAAATGTGAGACCTGAAACCATAAAAATCCTAGCAGAGAGCACAGGGTTTTGACATTGGCCTTAGCAACATTTTTCTGGATATGTCTCCCGAGGCAAGGGAAACAAAAGCAAAAATAAACTATTGGGACTACATCAAAATAAAAAGTTTCTGCACAGTAAAGGAAACAATCAACAAAACTAAAAGACAACCCACTGAATGGGGGAAGATATTTGCAGATGACATATCCAATAAAGAGTTAGTATCCAGAATATATAAAGAACTTATACAACTCAACACCAAAAAAACCAAGTAATCCAACCAAAAAATGGGCAGAAGACATGAAGAGACATTTCTCCAAAGAAGACATTTAGATGGCCATCAGATACATGAAAAGATGCTCAACATCACTGGTCATCAGGTAAATGCAAACCAAAACCACGAGGGGGCACCTGGGTGGCTCAGTCAGTTAAATGTCTGCTTTGGGCTCAGGTCATCATCCCAGGGTCCTGGGATCAAGTCCCACATCAGGCTCCTTGCTCAGCGGGGAGCCTGCTTCTCCCTCTGCCTGCAGCTCCCCCTGCTTGTACGTGCGAGCTCTCTCTCTCTCTCTCCCTCTCTCTCTCTCTGGCAAATACATAAATAAAATATTAAAATGAAATAAATTAAAAAACAAAAAACAGAACCACAAACAACACAGGAAACAACAGATGTTGGTGAGGATGCGGAGAAAGGGAAAGCCTCTTACACTGTAGGTGGGAATGCCAGCTGGTGCAGCCACTCTGGAAAACAGCATGGAGGTTCCCCAAAAAGTTAAAAATGGAACTACCCTATGATCCAATAATTCCACTACTGGGTATTTACCCAAAGAATACAGAAACACTAATTCAAAAAGATACATGCACCCCTACGATTACTGCAGCATTTTTTACAATAGCCAAATTATGGAAGCAGCCCAAATGTCCACTGACTGGTGAACGGATAGAAAAGATGTGGTATATACACACATGGAATATTAGTCATACGAAAGAATGACATCTTGCCATTTGCAATAACATGGATGGATCTAGAGGGCATAATGCTATGTGAAATAAGTCAGAGAAAGATAAATAACATACAATTTCACTTCTGTAATTAAGAAACAAAACAAATGAACAAAAGGGAGGAAAAAGAGACAAATCCAAAAAACAGGCTCTTAACTGTAGAGAACAGGTGGTCACCTGGGGGGACTAAGTGGGGGGTTGGGTGGAAAAGGTGAAGAAAAGAGTACACTTGCGATGAGCACTGAGTAAAGCATAGAGTTGTTGAATCACTATATTGTACACCTGAAACTAATGTAACACTCTATTAATGATACTGGATACTTTATTTTTTTTATAAAGATTTTATTTATTTTTGAGAGAGAGAGAGAGCACAAGCAGGGGGCGCAGGGGCAGAGGGAGAGGGAGAAGCAGACTCTCTGCTGAGCAGGGAGCCTGATGTGGGACTCGATTCCAGGACCCTGAGATCATAACCTGAGCCGAAGACTGATGCTTACCTAACTGAGTTACCCAGATGCCCGATACTGGATACTTTAAAGTTTAAAAAGAAAAGACTAGAAGAGCATGGATGCTCTCTGCTGAGAGGTTTGTGAGTCTCAAAATTTCTCCTCACATTTCATTTTCTAGATTCCAGTCACATGGTTCCATCTAGATGCAAGAACCGGTGGAAGGATGTATTTTCTCGTAGGCAGTGAGAATGCAATACCCTGGAAAGGAGAGAACCAATTTTTTAGTGGACAGTGAGCTGATATTCCACAACTTAAACAGAAAAAATATAAATAATGTCAATGTGTGGCTCTCTCCTGTACCTTCCAAGCCTTTTCTCTAATGCTGTGTTTGGACTCACCAGAATGGGCAGATTTGTCAGGAAGCTGTCCTTGGACTTGAGAGGAGGGACCTTCCTCACCTGATTCAGTTTGGGGAAAAAGGAAGGAACAGGCAGGGTCTCTTTAAATAACTGCTTCCTTCCCTGTTTTGGTAAAAATACTCTTCAGACTGAGCAATTACTAACTGCTGGCTTTTAGGGTGGTGGTTGTTTTTTAACAAAGAAATTGAAAAGCTGAACCACTCTACTCTTTGCTTCCCTGAGTGAGAGTAGGCAGAGAATGGATGGAAGAAGAGTAGGAGCCTGGAACAAATGTTGATGCAGTGGGACACTTTGTTGCTAATTATGCTTCACTTGAATGACAGTACGTGGGAGGTGGGCAGTTAGCTCCAGCTAATGGCGCACCATGGGACAGGTACTGCCTGATACAGAGACAGAGGCTGGAACAGCCACTCCAGGGGCCAATAAAACCAGTTTTATGGAAGAAGCCATCTTTGTTAAAAACCAAACCCAACCAAACATGGAATTCTCCAACAGCAGATTTGGCACCAACCCCGCTCTTCCCAAGTTTATTCAGCACAAAAGCCCCATGCACTCTCAGTCTAGAATGAACCAGAGCAAACAAACTGTCCTATGTGTGGAATGTGGACTTCCGTGATTTAGGATGATCAGCGTCTTACACAAACAGCTGACGATCTACTCAGCCCTAGGGACACTGATCCAAATCAATCCACATAGATGAGGGTCTGGTTTATACAAAAAGGAGGGGGTTGCTCAGCATTCAAAATAATTCATTGTCTACTCTAAGTTGTTTCTTTATTATTAAACCTAACTCATGGTGCATTTAAAATACAATGCAGTTCACCCTCAACTTATCGAGTGTATAGCAATTATGTAAAGTGAGGCACCCCGTAATACTGTTAGGCCCTCAGCAAGTCCCTGGGCTCCAGGGCTCTGGGCAGCCCAGCTGTCACTGCCACAAACAGGTGGTGTAAGACAATAGCTCCACTGAGCCGACTCACTTTCCAAACCCTCTAGCAGCCAAGCTTCCAGCCAGAGAGGGCTTGCAAGCAGCACAGGCAGGCCACCACTCGCCTCCAGTCCACACCAGCGCCCACGGCCCATGGAGACACAGCTGCTCCTCCTGCTCCTTGGGTTCTGCTCAGGTGAGTGCCGGGGTCGCGGGGCTCTCCTGTGAGGCTGAAGCATGAGACGTCCCCGGACCAGTGTCTTGCTTCTGGGGACACAGAATGGCAGGGCTTCATCAGCCTGAGGCTCCTCTGTCAGTTTCTCACTCTTGTTGGCTTGATTCAGCTTGTGGATAAAGATTTCTAGTTTGTGTTGTCCAGTGAAAATGGGAGCTGCCTGGTCAGAGGCTACAGAGTAGACATGCGGCCCCGCCCGCCATCAGTGCCCAGGGTCGCCTCAGCCGTCTGATCAGACTCCGCACCCCTGCTACCATCCAGGAGCGACTTTCATCTTGGAGCAACTATAGGGACTCAGAGTGGCATCTTATAATTGCAGACAGTTTGGGTAACAAGTCCTTTTACTGCTCTGGGAGAATTCTGGTAATGAAGAGGACTGACTGACAGCTGCATGTGCTGGAGAGAGAAACCTATTAATAATTGTAACTAAACTCTTTCCATAAGAGATCAGATATTTGGTAATTTTTTTAACTTCTGCAGTTAAAGAAAAAGCTCGTATGAATGCACTTCTGCCCTACAGTTTTACTATATGTAGGTTTGGGTTAGAATTGAAACTATAAAACCTTGCACAGCCCTTGACCTGCATTCCCCTCTGGAATGTGTCACCACACAGCAGCTGAAACACTACCCTTAATCCCAAACTTCCGGTAGAGGGAAGTAGAAGATGTTTGCTGATTGCTTCATATAAAAGTTTACTGGTGATATCTCACCTGAGAAACAAGACGGCTGACATTCTGTGATTTCTCTTCTCTAATATTGCTCTGACACACACACACACAGACCTTCTGGGCAAAAAAAGGTAAACAGCTTTATTATTAATATTTTTCAAGAGCAGAGTTCAGGGAAATAGCCTAAACTCGGATAAATTACAGCCTGTGGGATTTGGACTTGATCCAACTAAAACTGGCCTTTGTTGGTGTGGTGTGTGTGTGCATGTACGTGTGTGCACACGCGCCTACAGACATTACAACCGATGAAAATTCTTTTTTTAAAAAGATTTTATTTATTTATTCATGAGAGACAGAGAGAGAGAGAGAGATTGGCAGAGGGAGAAGCAGGCTCCCAAGGAGCTGGGACCCCGATGCAGGACCCGATCCCAGGACTCTGGGATCATGACCTGAGCTGAAGGCAGACGCTTAACCATCTGAGCCACCCAGGCGCCCCCGATGAAAATTCTTAAGCGATATGCTTACACATAAAAATCCTTAAGGGATCTCTCTGGACACCAAAGACCACAGGAAAATGCATGTTTACCTATCTAAAAAGGTATGTGATGTATATTTAGATCAAATCTAGAGTCTCCTGGTATCAAATCACATAGGGGCTCATAGAAATTTAGAGCTAGCTGAGGCAGTCCCACAACTTTAATTTGTTATTACAGGGAAACCGAGGCTGAAAGACATGAACTGACCTGCCCGGGGTCACTTAGTTTACAAATGTTGGAATGTGATCCGTTAGAGACTGTTTATGCTGTGCCTGGTCAGAAAACCCAGCCTGAAATTGCCAGAGGTAGCAAGAGATACAGCACCAGGTTGAGATAAGAATTACCCAAAGTAATTAGTAACATTTCAGAACTGGGAACAGAATCACAGAATTCTGACTTCAAGCCCTATGTGTTTTCTCTCACTCTGCCCTGCTTTGGGGAGGAAAAGGAAAACAACCACACCACCACCACCAATGAACCCAATCTGAGACATGGAGACCTCCACAGAAATTCCTTAGAAATGCATCATGGAGGGGCGCCTGGGTGGCTCCGTCGTTAAGCGTCTGCTTTCGGCTCAGGTCACGATCCCGGGGTCCTGGGATCAAGCCCTGCATCAGGCTCCCTGCTCTGCGGGAGGCCTGCTTCTCCCTCTTCCACTCCCCCTGCTTGTGTTCCCTCTCTCACTGTGTCTCTCTGTGAAATAAATAAATAAAATCTTTAAAAAAATGCATTATGGAAGGAACAGAGTCCCTTGTTATTTGTGAGATAGAGAGGAGGAAGCGAATGTCACTGGATATCTGACGAGGCCTGTCTCCCTGGTCTTCCCCTTCTCCCCAGTGGACCAGAGAGTTGGCCTGCATTGATTTCCTGCTTCATAATGTGGACCATCTGCTCTATCTGATGCTTTCTAGTATGTTCTTCCTGTCAAAGGGGAATAAACAGTCACTTAAAAATAAGCAGCCCAGGCAGTGCCAAAGCAATAGCTTCAAACTCAGTGGCCAAGGCACTCGGTGGCCCATGCCAGGGTCCTGCCCTCCCCTCCGCCCCACCGTGGGCCAGGAGGGGTCCAGGGTGGACAGGTGTGGAGGACAGAGGATTGCCATGTCCCAGGGGCTCAGTGGGGTGACAGCAAAAACTGGGTCTTTGGCCAACATGCAAACTTGAAGGGCGCTGAATGCAGGTGGCAGGTGGTTTGGGCAAGATGTTATGTGTAAGCGCTGAATGGATTCTTTTGGGCTCAGAAAGTTTGGGAAACTAGAAATGAGGTAGGTGAGGTCAGAGGTTCCATGCCTAGAGTCCAGGAAGGTCATAATGCAGACATTTAGGCTATACTGAAAGCTTCAAAAATCCAAATGGAAATGATACATTTATCTTTAGGGAGGTAGTAAAGAGCACAGACCCTGGGGTCAGACTGCCTGCATTTTTAGTCCTACTTCCAACTGGCTGGGAACCATGAACACATGCCAAAACTGTCCAAATGTCAGTTTTCTCACTTGTAAACCAGGAGTAAAGACTTATCTCCTAGGATTATTATAAGGATTCAATAAAATAATACAAATAAAGGGCCATCAGTGAAGCTCTACCAACAAAATACACATTTTTTGTGAGGATGAAAATGTTTCAACTCATTGCATTAACACTGGTTATTTCAAGATGATCCAAAGTTCTGGATGTGAACTAGTGGTTGAGAGCATGGGCTGTGGGCTTGAAACTTGACTCCACCATTTATGGAATCTGGACAACTCACTCAACCTCTCTAAGGTTCAATTTCCCCCTCTATAAAGCGAGGAAAAGAACAGTACCTACCCCCTACCCCACCCAGTTGTAGGATTGAAAGAGTTAGTACGTATAAAGCACACAGAAGATTGTCTGCCACATAACAGTTGGATATGCTATTATTTTTATTAGTTAATAAAAATAGAAAAAGTAATTACTGTTTACTTATTTTGTTGACAAACTCTTTCAAACTGAAGATTCAAGGAGAAAAATAATAACCTGTCTTAGACGCAATAGATTAGCAGTACTGGGGAATAAAGGAAAGCATCTCACTCATTCAGTTTTTAAAGTTGTCTTGGCCAAAGGAGAAGGTATGGTGGCTTCAGCAATAACCTGCGGAAAGGAGGGATCTGGTTACGTGCATTAGAGCAAGTGGATCATGTGTCTGCTTCCTCTCCTAACCCTGAACAGGCAATCCTCAATCCACGTAAGGCTTAAGTTACAAAGTTATGAAGATCCTTCATAAGGCACTTGTTGGAATTGGGAATGCTTTTTCTCATTGGAATAATGCTAGGACAGTGGTGCAATTTCCAGGACAGTCCACGACACACTCATGGTATCTCGAGTTAGTACGAGAGCAGAGCGCAAAATGGTAAGGCTCCCTCCAAGTTCTGCCCAAGCCACAGAACCTTGGACAAGTCTTCCAGCCTCTCGGATCTCAGGTGAGAATACCGGTCTGCTTGCCTCACTGGAGGCTGGTGAGCCCCATGTAACACTAGACACAAAAGGGCTGTGGGGTCCAAGAGTAGTAGATAATATTGCTCAGCATCCTGAAGGAAAATGTAGTAAAGATTCTCAGGAGTCACTCATGCTCCATAGTAGCCCCAAATCCAGATCAGAAAAGCACATGATTTCTACTCTATGTAACAACAGGGATGTGTACTCACCAGCAGTGATTTTTTTTTTTTTAATTACAGGAAAATACACATTCATAGAATTTGTCCTGGTAAAATACACAATACCTAAAATTGCCATTTTAAAGTGTATGATTCAGTGGCATTAAGTACATTCACAATGTTATACAACCATCACTGATATCTAGTTCCAGAACATTTTCATCACAATAGGAAACCCCATCCCCATATACCCATTAGCAGTTACTCCCCTTTCTCCCATCTCCTCAGTCCCTGCTAACCACTAATCTGCTCTCTCTGCAGATTTAACTATTTTGAATATTTCACATAAGTGGAATCCTACACTATGTGCTCCTTTGTGTCTGATTTCTTTCACTTAGCATAATATTTTCAGGGTTCACCCATGTTGTAGCATAAATCAACACTTCCTTTTTATGGGTGAATAATATTCCACTGCATGGATATGCCACATTTTGTTCATCCATCTATCTGTTGATGGGCATTCGAGATGTTTCCATCTTTCAGCTATTATGTATAGTGCTTCCACGAACACTGGTGTACAAGGTTCTATGTGGACAGTCCTTTGGGGGATATGCCTAGGGGTGGAATCACTAGGTCATATGGTCACTCTGCATGTAACTTGTGTGCCAAAGTGTCCCCCCGAGTGGCTGCACCGTTCACATTCTCACCAGCAACATATGGGGGCTCCATAATCTCACCGATATTCACTGCTTTCAATTTTGTGAATTCTCGCCATCCCAGTGGGTAGGAACCGGCATCAATTTTTGGCTGTTCACAGCATTTTGAGATCCGAGGCCGGCCAACTTGAGATTTCACTACCCCATGCCAAGACCCTGAAATATGGAGATGGGTTTTTGTGTGGACTTTTCTTCTTGCGTGTGTGCATCCGGCAAACCTGATTCCAGCCAGCGGCTGTATTAAGGAATGTCATCTGTTTAGAGCACAAGTGTCACAATAATCTGGCACACCCCACTGGGAAGGGACCACACCAGCAGCTGTGACTGGAAAGGAACTTAGGACCATAAAAGCTGCACTGGGAGCCCTTGAACAAGGGGGTCCGTGTGCCTTCCATTTGCTGGTCACGCCTCAGTGACTCCTGTTAGTGTTGGTGGAGGGTAGGGAGCAGAATCTGAGCGTGTGTGTCATTTGCTGTCCCAGCTGGCCTCGTCCTGGGCTCCGAACATGAGACCCGCCTGGTGGCAAAGCTATTTGAAGATTACAACAGTGTGGTGCGGCCAGTGGAAGACCACCGCCAGGCTGTGGAGGTCACCGTGGGCCTGCAGCTGATTCAGCTCATCAACGTGGTGAGACAGTAGCACTCGGGATCCCGCACTCACCCTGGCCTCCCCTCCTTACCTCTGAAGATGCGGTCTTATCTTTTTTCAGGATGAAGTAAATCAGATTGTGACAACCAACGTGCGACTGAAACAGGTATGCAGCTCGATAAGTGCATTGATGTCCTTTGTATTCACCCTGGAATTGAACCTGGGCCCAGGGGGAATCAATTTGGGTAACAGGGATGCATACCAACATGATACAAGTAAATATTTTGGTGTCGTGGGATGATGGATATTTGTTGGTGTGTGTGTGTGTGTGTGTTTTACTTTGTGCTTTGTTAGGCTACCATAAACAAAGCCACAGACAATGAAATGTATTCTCTTGCAGTTCTTGAGGCCAAAAGTCCAAAATCAAGGTATCCACAGGACTGGCTCCTTCTGAGGGCTGTGAGGGGGACTCTGCTTCCAGGCCTTTCTTCTTTGCAAATAGTTGGCCAACATCATGTCCCCATGGCATTCTTCTCGAATATGTTTCTGTCTTTAAATGTCCCCTTCTGGGGCACCTGGGTGGCTCAGTCGGTTGGGCGGCTGCCTTCAGCTCGGGTCATGGTCCCATGGTTCTGGGATTGAGCCTCACATTGGGCTCCACGCTCAGCGGGAAGCCTGCTTCTCCCCTGCCGGCCATTCCCCCTGCTTGTGCTTGCTCTCTCTGTGTCAAATGAATAAATAAAATCTTAAAAAAAAAGTCCCCTTCTTTTTTTTTTTTAAAGATTTTATTTATTTATTTCAGAGAAAGAGAGATGAGGGATAGAGAGCACAAGAGGGAAGAAGGTCAGAGGGAGAAGCAGACTCCCCGCTGAGCAGGGAGCCCGATGTGGGACTCGATCCCGGGACTCCAGGATCATGACCTGAGCCGAAGGCAGTCGCTTAACCAACTGAGCCACCCAGGCACCCAAAAAGTCCCCTTCTTTAAGACACAACTCCTCTTGGCTTAGGGCTTACCTCAATGACCTAATTTTAACCTAATTACCTCTATAAAGATCCTGTCTCCAACTAAAGTTATATTCTGAGGTACTGGGGATTAGGACTTCAACATATGAGTTTTGGGGAGACACAGTTCAATTCATAACATTGTGTCATCTGAATAGGCTACACCGGGCATGTATTACTTTTATAATGTAGGAAAAAATATAATACTTTTAAAAGATGATGTCTGCTTGAGGGAAATGTTCACAATAGGGTCATTCTCTTTTCCTGGGGTGGGCAGTGTGGCATGGTAGATGTGCCACCACCCAGTGGCATGACTTGGGGTATCTTTGTTTCCTCATTTGTAAAATGGGGTCAATAATCAGTCTTCCTTCATAGGATTATTGTGAAGACTAAATCATGGGTTTATGTAAAATGCTCAGAATGGTGCGTGCATGGAGTCGGTACTATAGAAGTGTTTGCTTTTATCATTTACTAAAGTGAAACATGAATTCTGAATCAAATCTTTTTTACTGGAGCACAATTTCTGTCAATATCCAAACTATCATATACCATCAGAACTCTTGATAACTTTAGATATTTGTAAAGATTTTATTTCTTTATCTTAGAGAGAGAGAGAGAGAGCAGGGAGGAGGGGCAGAGCAAGAAGGAGAAAGAGTCTCAAGCAGACTCTGTGCTGACTCAGGGCTCAATCCCATGACCCTGACCCTGAACCAAAATCAAGAGTCGGCTGCTTAACCGACTTAGCCGCCCAGATGCCGCTTGATAAACTCAGATTTTTTAAAAAATGTTTTTAGCTCTTTTTATTAGTGAAATGTCTTCATTTCTAGCAATGGGTGGATTACAACCTAAAATGGAATCCAGAGGAGTATGGCGGCGTGAAAAAAATCCACATTCCCTCAGAAAAGATCTGGCGCCCAGACCTCGTTCTCTATAACAAGTAAGCAAAACAGACAGGCTGGGGAAGGGGACATTCCTGGGGCAGGTGGAGCCCAAGTGCCCTATCGGAAGGGCTGCCACTCAGTATGCTTCTCACCACTGTTCACATTAAATAACCCTTAAAAACCAAGAGCCAAGTTGACATGCTAGGGGTGCCATATGGTGTCTCATGTTATGAATAGAAACAATTATCAGAGCCAAATTGAATCGGGGCTGTGGGGTGGGGGACATTTAATCCCTGAGAGCTCCTGAAGGGTGCATGGCAACTATCCAAGGAACCCAAATTCATATAATTGAGTTCCTTGGAATTAAACACCCGTCCTACCAATAGGTCTGAACCTCCTGGGGTGGTTATCCATCACATCCTCACAGCATCCCGAGACATCGCGTGCTGCCGATGGCCGGGGAGGCCTGCGTCGCCCATCCGCTGGGCTCCGTGACAGACTGCATGTTGTGAAATTATAATGTGATGCAAGACACTCTGGTCTAATGACAGGTTCATTATCATACGCCCTTCATTTGTCAGAGAATGTTCATTTCAAGGAGCATCCTTCCCGGGTGGGAGCATCCGCCATCGGCCAGGAGGATGTGCAGTCTGACAGTCTACACACAGCGCGTGTCTATGCAAGCGGGCTGTGCCTTCTCGCACACTGACCAGGGAGGGCAGCAAGGGCTTGTGAATGGAAAGGACACCCTTTACGGCCGACCCTCCTACTTTGATTTTCTACTACATATTTCCCAGTGATACCTGAGACTCAAACTTGAGCCTGATTAGCCAATCGTTCGTGTAAACTTTTCGGACAAATATGCTGATAGAGCAGAGTGTCTGGTGTCAGTAAGTTTCTCTTTCAGTAAGAATCTAAGAGAAGCAATTAAAGTCCTCAGGTCCTCTTGACAAGCGCGCCCGGGGAACACCCTGGTGGGGAGAGAACCCAGTTTTACTAGCTTATAGAGACAGATGTAGATGACCCTGTGGCCCTCTGCTCTTTGGGGCTCTTTTGGGAAGGTCCAGAACCGCACAGTTTTCTGGAGAGTGCCTCAACTCCACCCCAGGGAAAAACCAGTGATTTATGAAGTGAGGCACCAATATATGCCATAGGTCCCTGAAAGTCCCCCAGGGCAGACCCCACCCACCTCTTCAACACCTATTCTAATGCCTTTGGCGGAGGCCCCAACTCACAGGCTGTTTGGGGTCAAGTGGACTGCCCACTGAATAAGGCCCGCAGAAGTGGCCTGTTATTTTTTATTATCTACCATGGTGGATTATTTATTTGTTATTTTTTAAAAAGATTTTACTCATTTATTTGAGAGAGTGAGAGAGAGAGCACAAGCGGGGCAGGGAGGGGCAGAGGGAGAAGCTGACTCCCCGCCGAGCAGAGAGCCTGACTTGGGGCTTGATCCCAAGACCCTGGGATCATGACCTGAGCTGAAGGCAGATGCTTAACCGACTGAGCCACCCAGGCGCCCCTCTACCATGGTGGATTTTTAAAATGAGAAATTAGTGCCAACATTTGAAAATTGAACAGTATCACATTAAACTCTGGAGTTCTAGTCTCTGTAGAAAAATCCCTTATTCAAAAGCATGGAAACTTTGGATTAAAAAAATCCAGATTTCCCGGTTCCAAGGAAGAATCCCAGTATCTGGAAGCATCATCCTTCCCCCACAAGAGGGCTGCACAGCAAAGCTGAGTGGCACCTTCCTCAGAGGAGAGAAGGCTCTCCTCGCAGCCCTCACCCCTTCCTCACCGGCCTGGCCCGGGAGCACTCTGAGTTTTTGACTCTACCCTACTGAGTTCTAGATAGTTCTGAAACATAACAGAGCCCTTCTTTAAACGTGCTTACCACAGTCATGAGCCACTGGACTTGTTTTTATTTAAAATTCCCGTTTTTTGTTTTTTTTTTTTCCCCCCAGTTAACTTTCAAAGTATATTACGGAAGGGATAGATGGAGATTAACATTACAAATACTACTGAGGCCTGGGAAGAAAACATCTGGTATATAGTATCACCTATTATTTCTTTAAAGCCGTAGATTCCTAGGTTCTTCCCCAGATATTCTGATTTAGTGCTTAGATGGTGCTGAGAAATCTGTATTTTAAACTAGCACCCCAGTGATTATCAGATAAATTTGGGAAACGTTGCCATGAATAAAAAGTGACACTCCCTGAATGAAAGCATCTATAATTAGCACCTGGATAATTAACAGCTGTCTCCTGCTAACATCCCCATGCAGAACTGACGGCTCATCCGTCACTTGGAGTCATGTTCCTTTTTGATCCCAACTGCAGCGCAGATGGCGACTTTGCCATTGTCAAGTTAACCAAAGTGCTCCTGGACTACACTGGCCACATCACATGGACACCCCCGGCCATCTTCAAAAGCTACTGTGAGATCATCGTCACCCACTTTCCCTTTGACGAACAGAACTGCAGCATGAAGTTGGGTACCTGGACCTATGACGGCTCGGTGGTGGCCATCAACCCGGTAGGTGCTGACCTCGCAGGATGGGGCTGGATGCAGGAGGAGTGTCATCCAGGTGTCCAGCTCTGCCCCTCCAGAATCCCAGTCTCTCAGCACCAGTTATACCTTTGGGGATCATCGAATTCAACGGTTTGGTGTGTGCACATGAGAACCACCTGGGAGCTTACATACATTCCTCTGCCCGAACTCAGTCCCAGGAATTTTGGCTGAATCAGTCTGGGGTGGGACTAAGGCACCAATATGTTGTCGAGTTCCCAAGGGACTTGAAGGTGTGTTCAACATGGAGGGTCCCAATGGTCCAAACCCCCCTTATTTTATAGGAAAGACCCCAAATTGGAAGTGACCCTCCTGGGTCCCATTCCAGTCCCAACAGCACTGGAATCTGTTGCTTTATTACAGCTGAGTTTGAAACCCACCCCTCCTCAAGGGGGACACAGCTGGGGTTTCAAAGTTTCATTTTATCTTCTCAGGAAAGTGACCAACCAGACCTAAGCAACTTCATGGAAAGTGGAGAATGGGTGATCAAGGAGTCCCGGGGCTGGAAGCACTGGGTGTTCTATGCCTGTTGCCCCTCCACCCCCTACCTGGACATCACCTACCACTTTGTCATGCAGCGCCTACCCCTCTACTTCATCGTTAATGTCATCATTCCCTGCCTGCTCTTCTCCTTCTTAACTGGCCTGGTGTTCTACCTGCCCACAGACTCAGGTGGGTGCCGCTGCCATGGCCGCTGCTGCTGACGCGGACATACCTCGTGCTGCTATTTGGGGGGAAAGCAGAAATAATCATGGGCTAATAAACAAATACAGGCAGACACGCCCAAATCATCATCCCTGGGAGGACACATTTTACTGAGTGGCCATGTTCAGTGGTGAGTCACTGTGGCTAGAGCTCACAGCTGAAGCAGACTACAGGGCAGGCAGAGTTGAACATGACCCCAGAGGCACACATACACAGCTCAGTCTAGTTAATGTGAATAACCACCAATACTTGCTTGCTGAATACCTATCTACTGTGTGCCCAGAAATGTGCTGGGTAAGGTTTGGGTCACAGACACTCCTCAAGTCACTTCCCCTATGAAGCCACTGACTATATACTGATTAAACCAAGTCTTGCCTCTTTTGCTCACTGCTTGCCACTTGAAAATAGCTTTTGTGTGTCTGTTTTCCAGATGGCAGTATCTTTATACACAAGACCATATTTCCCAAGTGGCAATTCCTTCTCATATCAGCCTGGGCAACTTCCTTACCTCCTACTGGGTAATCACATCTGTGACATAATTTCACCAAATACCAACAATCTGCAGAAAAGGGGAAAAGGGTACAGGAGTACCTGCTTGAAGTCACTGCTCATAAACAATTTAGGGCAAACAAGTAGGGGAAAAAGAAAGGTGGTACAGACAGTCCTCAAACTTATGACAGGTAACAATTATATCAAAATGATAAACACACACACAAGTCTAAGCCCAACTTTCCAACAAGGAAAAAAAAGATTCATATACACTCACTCATTCAACATATTTGTTGAACAGTTGTTATGTGGCAAGGCCACAGTAGAGAATAAGGCAGAATTCGCCCCACAGGGGCACCTGATTGGCTCACTCAGTAAAGCATGTTACTCTTGATCTCGGGGTTGTGAGTTCAAGTCCCACACTGAGTGTAGAGATTACTTAAAAAAAAAAAATCTTAAAAAAAAATTTGCCCCACAGAATGCACATTGTATTTATAACTGTATTTATTTTTAAATAAATGATCCCAAACACAATTTTTTTTTCAACTTTCTAATCAAATGAAGCTTCTTAAAGTGAAGAGAGAAAATGCCAGTCAGGGCAATAGGGAAATGAATCAGAGTTTCTGTAAATGTGAAATGGTTTACACTTGAAGAGCATTTATTTTTTTTTAATAATTTTTATTGTTATGTTAATCACCATACATTACATTGCACTTGAAGAGCATTTAGAACAGTGAGAATGCATGATATATGCTAGCTCTTATTCTCATTATTATTAATCGAGAAATTTGATGTAACTTGATCAGTATTTCGTATTTATACTTCTGTCCCCTTTTTCACTTTTAAAGACTTTCCTACCCACTAGGTAGACTTCTCCTAACTAGGTAGAATTGCTCATTTCTTGTTTGCATCCACTCTGTATCCTGTAGATACTCATAGCATCTGGAAGCATCCAGTATGGGAGTAGAACAGGGTAACACAAGGGTTTCCTAAGACAAACAGCAGGACGGGCCCAAGGAAAGTCCCTTCCAAAGGCTAACTGCATCTCAGGTGGTTAGTCCCCACAAAAATATTCCCATTCGGCCCCTCCCTCCTCACTTGCCATACCAAGACTCTAACAGGGAATTGTGCACCCTGAAATTATAGGGCCTGGTGAAAAGAGGGTGGGGAAGGGAAATCGCTGATCCCTTAATATGAAAAACAGAACAAGAAAAAAAAAATTATCCTCTTAGATGAATGTGAAAAAGTAAGTAGTTCATTGGTTTTGTCCTTTTCTTGGTTTTGGTCCTGCAGCTTCCTCCCATAACGAGAAAACTACACGTGTACTTCTGGTTTGCCCATCCATCTGCTGGGTAACAAGTAGGTCAGGTTCCATTTTGGGAGGTTGATGACATTCTGCTGCAGACAGAAAACTGCCACCCGGAGTCTAGCCCGTCACACAGCTGGGTGTACTTGGTTCCCTGAATTCTAAGCCTCAGAATTCTGGGACATGAGATCGAGTAGCCACTGGTTGCTCAGCAGCCTCTCATGGAAATGCCTGCCACTTGCCACTGTCAGCAGAGCTAAGGTGCGTAAGGTCTCAAAGGACCGAATTCTGCCCAGGAAATTTCCCCAGCGTCACGCAAGTCACATTGCTCTCCCCCTTGGGGTCTGTGGTATATGAGCTGGCTGGGGCTGCCATAACAAAGTACCCCAGGCTGGGCAGTTAAACGACAGGAATTTGTTTCCACATGGTTCTGGAGGCCAAGGTGTCAGTAGGTTTGGTTTCCTACGAGGCTTCTCTCCTTGGCTTGCACATGGCTGTCTTCCCTGTGTCTTCACCTGGTCCTTCCTCTCTGTGGGTGTCTCTGTCCTAATCTCCTCCTCCTAGAAGGACACCAGTCATCCTGGATGAGGGCCCTCCCTAATCAACTCATTTTGACTTAAGGCCTCATCTCCAAATATAGTCATGGGGGTGTCAAGGCTTAGGACTTCCACGTATAAAATTGAAGGGTACGACAATTCAGCCCATAACACATGAGTGGCTGTATTTCTTCTTCATTTTGTCCAGGAGAGAAGATGACTCTAAGCATCTCAGTCCTGCTGTCCTTAACCGTGTTCCTCCTGGTCATCGTGGAGCTGATCCCTTCCACCTCCAGTGCCGTGCCCTTGATTGGGAAATATATGCTGTTCACCATGGTGTTTGTCATCGCGTCCATCATCATCACCGTCATTGTCATCAATACACACCACCGCTCCCCCAGCACCCACGTCATGCCCGACTGGGTACGCAAGGTGAGTGAGCAAGGCCCTGCAAACTCTTGCCCGTAAGAACGTCTCTCCTTCCACGTGGCCAGTGTGGAATTCTGGTTAACAACTGTGGGTACTTAGGAACTGAAAGTCCTTTCTGGGGATTTTGAGGGGATTTCTGGAAGGAACTTTCTTTAGCCTCTTTCTAGAAATAAATAACTCATGTAGCCTCCCCAAGCACAGAAGAACAGAATTAACAAAGCCCCCTCCAAAATCAAGCTTAAACAATCCCTTTGATTAGAGAAGGTGAATAAGTCACTTTCTTTTTAGTCAAATGCTGTGAAATTCTTGAGATTTCTGTTTGTATGTCTTCCAATCTCTGAACAGTCTGCTTATTTTTTGCTGGGAGAAATTATCTGCTGAGACTAGAATAAGGACTAGAGATGGAGGGGGTGCTTGACAAGAAATTGTCAAAAAGTGAGTTTCACTGAGGAACTTGGTCTCAAATATTTCCATTATTGAAATTTAAAGTGTGTTAACATTTCCAATATGTCAGTTTTTAAATAAAACTTCACAGAGACACTAGCGTCCAGGGTCTTTTTGCAGCATGCAAAAGATTTGTCATGAATTGACAGAAACCATACTGCTTGCAATGTATTCTTTTGGGAAGACAATCAGTCCCTATATCTATAAAGACTCATATGACTCCTGGCAACACTTATGTTGCATTTCTTCAGGAACAAGAAATGGAAGAAAACAGAGTAGCTGTTTTGGAGACTTATATATTCTTTTAGCCAGAAAGACCTTTTCTTTAACCATATTATCCTGCTAACACATGGCTTTGAAAGAAGCTGGTTACCTATAGCAGGGCTGGAAGCTTAAGCAGCACTGGCTTCTCATTGAGTCCAATAGCTGCACACAGGCTCCCTCCAGTGGCGAACTCCTCACATTACAGAATCATCTCTACTCACCGTAGTAATTTGACAGGCCACAAGATATGCCTGAAGAAATCTTTAAGAAAATTTAGTAGAGTCCTTTTGTTTTAAGGACAAAGGGGCTAAGGCCCAGAGAAGCCAAATGACTTGCCTAAAGTCACGCTGCTAATTCAAAGTCAGAGTTTGATACTTACCCTGTTGGCAATAATTCTCATGCATGGATTTCTTCTTTATGTTAGGTTTTTATCGACACTATCCCAAATATCATGTTCTTCTCCACAATGAAAAGACCATCCAGAGAAAAACAAGACAAAAAGATTTTTACGGAAGACATTGATATTTCTGACATTTCTGGGAAGCCAGGGCCTCCACCCATGGGTTTCCACTCTCCCCTGATCAAACACCCTGAGGTAAAAAGTGCCATTGAAGGAGTCAAATACATCGCAGAGACCATGAAGTCAGACCAGGAGTCCAATAACGTAAGTTCTGTGCCTTGAAACCCACACCTCCAGGCTTAAATTATCAAATACTTGAGCACAGATGGACATGGATGGGTTTGTCTTGATGGGTAGGCTGGCATTCACGAGGCAGCTGCTGACCTCCGATGTGCCTTGGTGACCACCTCTAAGCCGCCTTCATGAGCCATCCCATTGTGAATAATCTATTGGAACGATAAAGATCACCATGCCACCCAAGGGATGTCGAGGGCTTTGAGATCTGCAAATTGTGTGGACCATAGACGATGCATAACGTGAACACTGTGAGTCTAATGACCACCTGAAGGAAATTCTAACACTTTTCTCTCTCCCAGGCGGCCGAGGAATGGAAGTATGTTGCAATGGTGATGGACCACATTCTCCTTGGAGTCTTCATGCTCGTCTGTATCATTGGAACCCTGGCCGTGTTTGCAGGTCGGCTCATTGAATTAAATCAGCAAGGATGAGCAGCGCTGAGCACTAGGCAGAGCAGAGAAAGGCGGGGAAGACAGAAATATCTGTCTGCTTTGATACAAGCTCACTTAACAGACATCAAATTTTCTGTATTTATGATTAATGATAATGATTTTTATTTACATAAGGTGATAGCCTCAAGTATTTTCACAGTACTTCTTCAATCCGCTTTATCTGCCTGTAGAGTGAGCCCTTTGTAGTACATGAAATGGGATCACTAACAAGACGTATTTGTTTCCAAAGGCATCTGGAAGAGTTTTGCCCAGAATAACAGGTTTTCTATTGTTTTTTTTTTTAAGCAAAGAATGTGTCCTTTGCTTAAAAGTCAGTTTTGTACATGCAAGTAAGCCCATCTGCCAGTCCCCAAAAGATAAAGCATTTGATTCAGAGAGAAAAGGAAACTGTAGAAAGGCAACCGCTAAGTTCTAAAACAGCCACCAAAATGCAAATTGCATCAAAAACGCATGCTGTAAAGCAGATTTCTAGAGCTGGGATGTGAGGGAGGGGCTTCCCAGTCTAACACAGCACCTGAGTATGCTGCTTAAGGCTTGAGGAACACAGCCAGCTAGCTTCCTGAGCTATACCAAGTGTGAGGGCCAGGCACTGTGGGAACTGTCTCAGGAATGTGGTTTTATTCCATCCTCCTGACTTTCATAATGTCCCTATTTTACAAATGAGAAAGCCGAACTTGAGAAGCTTAAGTTCACTGCCCAAACTAGCAAGGAGAAGAACTGAGAGTTGAACCCAGACCAAATGTGGATTCAAAGCAGCGCAGGGCTAGGTCAGTTCATCTGGTCACTGGCTCCCCCCGCCCCTGCTCACCTGATCTAGGCCATCCTGTAACTCTGCTCAGGGTTTGGAGAGCTTCAGTCTTAGTGTCAACCACCTTTCTGCCCTTCCCAATTAAACCTCCTGCCCTTTCCCCTAGTCCTCATTCAGTCCTGCTTAGGGTTTTTGTTCTATCAATGAAATCAGACATGTATGCACATACCACCACCATTCTTAAAATTCCAGACAAGTGCACAGCAGAGAAAAGGATGTTTCTTCATAGCCACTTACCAGCCACAATGTAATTCACTCCAGAAGTAGAAAGTGGGCAGCCCTGGGCTCTGGGTGGCCTCTCCGATCCCAGGTGGTTTCGAGCTACCTCTCCATGGAATTCTCAAGCACACACCCATGGCAGGACAGAGTGCTTTCATTTTAGAGTAAACTCAAGGGAAAGCAGTTTGGTGGCTCCTCAAAAAACTAAACATAGAATTATCATAGGATCTGGTAATTCTACTCCTAGGTATATACCCAAAAGTGAAAGCAGGAACATGAACAGACACGTGTATGCCAATGTTCACAGAGCGTTAAATCACAATCCCAAAAGGTAAAAACAGCTAAAGTGTCCAGCAGTGGAAAAACAGTATATACATACAATGGAATATTATTCAGCCTTAAAGAGGAATTCTGATGTATGTTACAATACAGATCCACCTTGAAAACATACTTGGTGAAATAAGCTAGACACAAAAGGACAAATCTTGTGATTCCACTTATATGAGGTACCTAGAAGAGGCAAATTCATAGAGAAAGTAGAAATAGAGATTGCCAGGGTTTAGAGGGAGGGGTGAGTTATTGCTCAATGGGTAGAATTTCAGATTGGGAGGATGGGAAAGTTCTGGAATGGACGGTGGTGATGGTTGTACAACATTGTGAATGTACTTAATGCCACTGAATTGTACACTTAAAAATGGTCACGATGGTAAATTTTATGCATATTTTACCACAATTAAAATAAAGAATGAAAACAATGGTAAAACTGTAACTGTCATGTTATATATATTTTACCACAATTAGATGAACAAAAAACAATCTGCTACTTGCCTAATCTGGCCTAGTTTCCCAGGACTGACTGTTGATTCAGAGAAGGAACTGAAAAGTCACTTCCATTCTCAGGAAACAGAGGCTTACAGAAGTAACCTCCCTCAGGTCACAGAGCGATTTGGTGACACACCAGACCTTCTCACTCCGCTCCTGTGCTATGTCCATCACACCAAATAACCCCTCTCCCCGCAAAGCAAGGCCCTTGGGCACATTCCCTCCTGGCCAGCAGAGCCAGCCTGAGTGGATACCACAGTGCTATGGCGTGTAGTTCCATCAGCCCCTAAATATCTGTCCCATCAGTCTGTCACCACATCAAAGGCTTTCATCTTTGGACTCCCCACCCTTAGTTTGGGCTGGTCTCCAGAAGACCACTGACGTAATGGGAGGGGAGGCAGAGGGTGCTGGGATCTGTCTCCCCCTGGGGAGGCCTTTGCTGAGGTCCCGGCCTGCCTGTGCCCGTGTAGCTCTGTGGATGAGCGTGTCTGCACAGCAGGAGGACTTCCTGGCAAATAAGGAGCATCCTGCAACTGGGACACAGGCAGGTATGTGCATTTACAGACTGAAACCAGAAGCAGAAACTGTTCAGAGCTCAGCTAAGTCTTCTCTTTTTCTACTCTTGGTTGTCAGAACTGGGAGTTTTTTTTTAAATCAGAAATTATATTAACATTTAAACAGATCAGATGGGGTCTTCAGGGAGAGATTTTGAGGCTGGGTGGGAGGTAGCAGTGTTGGCCCCCATCACTAGGGACCACAGTGCTGTTGTATTCCTCCTGAGGGGTAGAGGGTCAGGCAGAGGGGCTCAGGCAGCAGCCTCCTTGCCTGCTGCCCAACTGATTTCACCCCACCCTAAGAACCGGGTCCTGTCTTCAAGCCTGAGTTCCCCGCTCCTGGTTCTCAAACCACCATGTTCAAGGTCATCTCTCCCATAGAGTGCTCTCCCATAGCTGCTTGAGTTCTAGCTCCACACTGGTTCTTGAGCCACCGTAGCCACTTGAGGTCTCTCCCACCACACCCTCCCTCTGCCTCTACCCAAATCCCCCAAGCCCTACCCCACAACGCCGTTGGGTTTTCCAAGTAAGCCTCTTTGCTACTGGTTAAGGGCTTTCCCCAATACCACCCATGTTCCAATCACTGCTGCCCGAGCTTATGCTCCTACAGCCCGAGTTCTCCAACTCTTCCCCCCCAACTCGCTCCATGCTGCCACCCACTGCTGCCTGGGTTTACTAGTTACCCCAGCCATGGTCTCTTCTGCACCTCTGTCTGAGTCCGACCTCTGCCAGTGCCTTAAATTTATTCCCACCGCCCTTGCCTGGGTCTGTCCTGACTGCAGCCCAAGGGGGGGTCTCAACACTCTTCTCCCCTTTGCTGCCTGCTGATTTACCCTTACCCCCAAGCCGGGCTGCTCGGTCTTTCCCCTGACTCATGCCCTTGTCCTCATTGTCACCGTCACCACTGCCGCTGCAGGAGCCAGGCTGTCGTCCTCATCCTTGGACTCAGGGGCTCTGCGTATGCAGAGGTAGGCAGGGATGGGGTGGGGCTGGAGCCTGGGGATGCCTGGTGGGGTGCAGCCACAGAGAGGGGCCAGCAGGGTCCGAGCCTGCCCCCCAGGAGAAACTCTAGCAAGTCAGCTGGGTGGGCCTCCATTGTCAAGTGCAAGCTGCCTGTGGGCTCCAGTCTGTTGAGGTCAGCTTGGGCCTCCTGGAGGAACCAGATCATGTCTGCCTCTTAAGAGGATGGCGGCCACATGGAGTGGGCCGTGGTCCTTGTCATTTTCAGCCTGCAACTACAGCTTTGGGTCCTCCTCACTTTCCTCCAACTTCTCTAAACCGGTTCTTGGGTCGATGTTGGGGATGTATTTGGGCCCTGAGCTAGGCAGGGGTCAGGGGCTCCTTGGGGCACCCAGTGGGGACTGGAGCCGTGCCTGCAGCAGGCCAGGAACAACAACCCAGTGTGCACCACACACTTATGCGGCGTGGACCCCTCCACAGGCTGGCTGCTAGCTGCGGGGCTGTCTGGCCCAGCTCGTTCTGTGGGCCCAGGTGCTCAGTGCCAGCCGCAAAGCCTAGCAGCAGATCCAGGAAGGGCTCGTGCTGATGAATCACTTCCAAGTGTAGTGCCGGGGGCCCATCTTCAGGGGTGGTAGCCGAAGATGAGGGGTGCCCACAACAGCCCCGGCCCACCTCTGCCCAGTGCTGGTCCTCCCAGGGTCACTGGGTCTGGACCCCGTGAGCCCAGGTCACTGTCACGCCATTCATGCACACCTACAGCCTCCCCAAGCCGGTGCCCTGGCCGTGACCCCCCCAACCGCAGCCCCTAAGTCTTCTTTTGCATTTGCCCCCCCCCCCAGGAGGAGGAAGCCTAGAGAAGTGGGACACTGTCTCAGTGTCCCAAGGCTGCGTAACCAAGTGCCACAAGCTGGGTGGCTTAAAACAACAGCAATTCCTTCTCTCCCAGCCCTGGAGGCCTGCTGTGGACTGAACTGCATCCCCCCAAAATTTGTACAGTGAAGCCCTACCTCCCCCGGCCCCCCACCTCCATGTGATGGTATTTGAAGATAGGGCTTTGGGAAATTTAGGCTTAGATGAGGTCGTGAGAGTAGGATCCTCGCAACGGGATTAGTGCTTTTGAAGAAGAAAACCCTTTCTCCCGCTTGCTGCCCCGCGAGGGCCCCAGAGCGAAGGCGGCTGTCCGCAAGTCAGGAAGAGGGCCCTCACCAAAGCCCGCCCACGCTGGCATCCTGACTGCATATTTCCAGCCTCCAGGACTGTGGGAAAATACATTTCTGTCGGTTCAGCCACCCACTCTGTGGTATCTGGTTATGGCAGCATGAGCTAAGACAAGGCCAAAGTCCAAAATTACGGTGTTAACAGGCTGATTCCTTCTGGAGGCTCTGAGGGGGAATCAGCCCCATGCCTCACTTGTAGGTTCTGTTGGCTACTGGCAGCCCTTGGTGTCAATTGGTTTGTGGCAGCAGGACTCCACCCTCTACCTCCATCTTCGTGTGCCTTCTTCTTGGTGTCTTCTCCTTTTCTGTCCTTTAGAAGAACACTTGTCATTGGATTTAGGGCCTACCCTAAATCCAGGATGATCTCATCATAAGATCCTTAACTTAGTTACAACTGCAAAGACCCTACAGGGCCTGGAGCACCAGGAATCGCCCGGCCAGGGGAGGCCTGGTAGGAAGGCCTCCTTCCAAAGCCCATGACAGCCAAGTCAGCAAGAGGCCCCCTAGTGGCCAGTGGTGAAGAGAGGCCACCGTGG